CCCCCTTTGTTAGCTGACCTGTTCTATTGTCTTTATTTATAACTTCATGCTGAATGCCTTTTATACATTTACTGTTTCCAACCCTAGTGTTGCAACCTGCTTGTTTCCCACACACACCCATACCTCTATCTTCCATCAGTTTAAAATCATAGGCATTTCACCAATGGCCTTCTCAATCGAGTCTGCAAGTGCTACCACCCCAGCCCCAGAGAGATGTACCCCATCCCTTGCATACATATCATGTTTGCCATAAAAGTTGTTCCAGTTGTCAATGAATGGGATTGCAAGTTCCTTGCAGTATCTGTCTAGCCAGCAATTTACACCAATTGCCCTAGACAACCATTCATTTCCTACTCCCCTTCTAGGCAAGATGCTACATATGATTGGGATCCCTCCCTTAGACTTAATGAAATCTATAGCTGACCTGTACTTATCTAGCAGCTCTTCTCTCCTACCCTTCCCAATATCATTTCCACCAGCACTGAGACAGATAATGGGGTTGTTCCCATTACCTGACATGATATTATCCAGCCTGTTGACAATGTCCCCAACACCAGCTCCAGGGAAGCACACTCTATCTCTCATCTTCTTATTCCTATTACAAAAAGCACGGTCAATATATCTTACCTGAGAGTCACCAACCACAAGAATGCGCTTACCTTCATTAGCAGGGGCAGTAGTACCCTTACCTTCACTGGCCACTGAAGTACATTCATCCTGGAGAACAGAGAAGCGATTTCCTACCTTCAGATCTTCACTCTTAACTTTCCTTACTCTGATGCGCCTCCCATTACTGTGAACAACTCGCCACTTGCAGCAGGTGCTGGGCTGCACCTCACTGCTGGTAGCTGTTGCTACCTCCCCAACTACAGCCTCCTCACAGCGAGAGACAGACTGCACCTCACTGCTAGAAGTCTCATTCCCCACAACTCCAGCCACCTCACACTCTCTCCCAGACCCATTGAGGTGGACCTTCAGCCTCCTAATCTCCTCCTGGAGAAGCAAGACCTCCTCCTTCAACTCTCCAACCTCAGTTTTTAAAACACTGCAGAAGCAAGCCATGCTTTGTAACCGTCCACGCTAATCCCCAAAGCAGCTCAGGGTCTGTGACCTCACGTGACGACTGAGATTATCTATCCTGAGGAATGTGTTATCCATCCTTCATAATGGATAATAACACCTGTGTAGTCCATGGCAACCTACATACTCACATCATGGACGGGGGAGAACACATCAGTTAAAAACCATGAGAACGACAATATCAAGTATACAGTAATAGAAGCAGCCACCTCGTCAGTACCATCGAACACAACACTGTGCTGTATTTGGCTGGCTCAACATATTTCTCACATTTCCGAAATTCATACACTAAATGTATTGAACCTTATCCTGTCACCTTGGCTCCGCCACACTAATACCTAGCTTCCTATGACCTCACCTGTATCTCACTTCATCTTTGACCTTTGACCTGTTTTTCTCCGACCATGTCCTCAGGGTGCTCGTATGCCTTATTAGGAAGTGTATTTTTTTCTTATTTACCTGATAAGGGCTAGCCTATTAGGCTTCATCAGGTGTTTTTTTTACCTGACGACGAGATATATACAGTGTACCTGAAGATGCAGTCAACAGGTGTGCGTGACACATGTACATGAAACTGCACTCACAAAACTTAGACACTTGTACGTCAGTATGCAGTCACGAGGTGATCACGTTCAAGAATATACAGTTACAAGATGTACACAACTACGTGAACATTCACGAAGTTGTGTATATATACATGGACGTGAACAATCGAAAGGTGCACATACATGGATATGAACGTTCATTCACGATTATACAAAACACAGACGTAAATACGGTGTTTGTTAGAGAGTATCAAGAGGGTGTTAGAGTTTTAACTTTTAACCTGATGGAAACAGAGGCTATGGAAGACTCACGACCTTTGCTACTCAAACAAGAGTAAGCGGATGAAGGTATCTCGGTAAACCATTACGCTTATAAATATGGTAAAAAAAAAAAAACGACAGAAATGAAGTCTGTTATAAGGCAGACGACAACGACACTCCCCTGCAACATGAGAAATTAACTTTGCATTTCCAAATCATTGTCTCTCACTTTTTACCCAAAGACTTCCTGAGATCACAATCGAAACTTTTTCTTGAAATCAAATATGTTTTAAGTTGAACCATACCATGGACGGGGATAGAACCCGCGATCAGAGAGTCTCAGAACTCCAGACCGTCATTAATATTTCGTGAGTCATGTTTTAAGTTGTATATGTGCTCTAGTAATGAGACATTCTCGTAACCATGAACGCTGATGACTCCGTTTACTTGTAATGGCATCATTGTCGAACAGTTATTGATCTAGCAGTCCGTTTTCTTAACCATAGAGAACTTGTCACTGTTGTAGAAACAGTCAAATTGGTGGCAGTTGACGTAGTCTTGCACAGTTGAATTATGACATATGAGCCGCACGTAGTGGCTGTCCAATTTATTTTCTTTTTTATCTTATATTCATTGTTTTCCGTTGTAACCTAACCTACCTAATCAAACCTAACTTAGAAATGGGCTGCAAACCCTGTGCGAAAGTATAAAATAGTTATTAGGATAACGGGTTGCATCTAGAGATTGAGGCCAGCATAAATAATTAAGGCGGCTCTGTCCTTCACGCTGAATTGATGGCTATTATCCTAATACTCAAATCTGTTCATATCTCCAATGTTGACATATTAATTATAGTTTTATATCACTTTATAGTTGTATATGCTCTGAACTTTATGAGGCATTAATGATAAAACAGCCTAAGCCCCAGGCATGGGCTGTTTGTTATTTTATCATGCCTATGCCCTAGGCATAAGTATGATAAAATAATAATCAGTGGAGTGGGTATCCTAGAACATTAGCTTTCAGATATTTGATATAAGTAGGTATCGGATTATACCCTAAAGAAGGAAGTCGATTTGAGCTGTATATGAACAGAGGCCAAAGATACAGAATTTTCTTAAATTCAGCTTTTTAGCCATGAGAGAGACGGACTGAGTCAATCCGTCTATTTTATTTCAATTCCATCATGCATAAAGAGCAATGCAGTATAATCGGTACCACTGTAATCTGTTTAACCAACAGTTCTTTGGCTAAGTTCCTAGCACCCGGCATCGTTGTTACCTAATTAATATGCTGCATTATAATGTTCATGTGTCAGAATTCACAAAGTGTGTAATTAACTTGGCCTTGATAATATAACTGTTGTTAACGTAATATTTGCTTCCTGCCATCAAGTTTGCTACTGAATTAATTTTTTTCCTGAATAGTTCGTTACTTATGTAACTTGTTTACCTAACACAGTGCTGGGACTCAGTGTCTGGATCCACTATGTGCCTCTAATCATCTGACTACCGCTCACACGATGTTTATGGAGTATCTCAGTAATTGAATAACAAAAAGGCACAATACCGTGACTGGAACGATACACAAATAACCCGCACATAAAAGAGAGAAGCTTACGACGACGTTTCGGTCCGACTTGGACCATTGACAAAGTCATACTAACAGAGGTGGAGCAGGACGGCTATATAAGACACATGTGCGGCGTCTGGTTGTCTTTGTTGTGGACGTTTCGCCATCCAGTGGCTGGCTGGATGGCGAAACGTCTACGATGGGGATGCCCGGGTGTTGTGCATGTCTTAATTTCATCTTGTCGGTATTATATACAATTCTTGTACTACTACTACTACTACTACTACTACTACTACTACTACTACTACTACTACTACCTCCACCTCTGTTAGTGTGACTTTGTCAATGGTCCAAGTCGGACCGAAACGTCGTCGTAAGCTTCTCTCTTTTATGTGCGGGTTATTTGTGTATCTCAGTAATGCTCGCAAGGCTGATTTTCCTCTGCTGCACGCTGCAGTAAATGACTCATGCTCAAGCACTGGACCTGACGTACCTAGCTCACCTGAGATCACCGGACCTGAACTGTCTAATTCACCTGAGATCACCTAGCTCACTTGACTTCCTTATCCTATATAAGAACATAATAACGTAAAGAAAGAACACTGCAGCAGGCCTACTAGCCCATGCGAGGCAGGTACAAATCTCCCACCGTCTTAAGCCAATGGCCCAACCTAGTCAGATCAGGTCACATGGCATCAGGAGCATGGCATCAGACCTATTAACACAATCTAGTCAGGTTCAACTCATACCCACCCGCACCCACTCGTATTTATCTAGCCTATTTTTAAAACTACACAACGTTTTAGCTTCTATAACTGTACTTGGGAGTTTGTTCCACTCATCCACAACTCTATTACCAAACCAGTGCTTTCCTATATATCTTCTGTTTATTTTCTGCATGTACACAGACATACATGCACAGTTCAGGACAATTATTAAGGAAACGTTTCGCCACGAGTGGTTTCTTCATCAACTTTCAGACATTTTTTCCAATAAATTTCTTGAGCTGTGCTCCAGATACTGCCAGTATCACCATACCTGTTGTTCAGCCTGCAATTTTTGTTCTCTGACGTGGACTGACGAAGCTCACAATGGGTGAAACGTGTTCTAATAAACTGGCCTAAATGTTGCCTTTGACTTTATTCCACAGCTCTGTGTTATCAATATTTGACAATAAACAGAAATTGGGATACATGACGAAGGTTGTTTCGTGGATTGTATGATTGAGCAGCTCGTCTCGCTGTGTTGGTACCAATGTTGCGTCAGCCCTGCCAGTCAGTGACTAGGACATCATTTACCTAAGTGACGTAAGTCACACTCGCTCACCTTCAATTTTTTTTGTAAGTTAAAGCCATTTCATCAGAAAATTAATGGAATTCAGGTTTTTATGTAATGCTGGCTTACTTTAAGCAAATCAATTAGCACCATTTTATACTGAAATAGTTTACAAAAGTATTTAAAATATTGGAATGATTTTAGTGAAAATAAAGTTGATGGAATCTTTGTCAGGTCCATTTTTTAGACCAATCAACGTGGCGCCTCTGGGTTCGTCCTTCGCTCTCCCGTCCAATAGTCTCCGGCGCCACCCACTCCCCACAACACGACCACCTACAAAAGAGAACACACGGCCTGACCACGATTCAGTCGTGACCAAATTTTTGTGAGAGACGGGACCAGGTTATGGACACACTCAGGTAACTTACGCCAGTGTTGTAACTTTGCCTTGCGCAGACTACTCACTCCTTGTGGCATGAAACTGAAATCCTTGTTTGAGGACACTCATTTATCGCGGGTCTTAAAGTATTTTATAACTTCAAACCTTGGACTTAGAACAAAATAAATGTAATGGAGCACTGCATTTATTAAAGGAAACACATCGTTACGAGTGGCTATGATTCCTTTAATAAATAGCCTGAACTGTATTGATGTGTCTTTATCCACAGCTTGTCGGTATCATTACACCATTTACATCCCTACTGACCCTGGCTAGATAGACCGAACTGGCCCAACTGCACCCTCCCATATACCAGTCAAACTTAATTTTTTAACCCAAAGAACTGACCCAAGTTTCTCGCTTGGTAACATGCTCATTGGAGAAGCCAAGTACAGACACTCAAAATCCGGGAAAAGGGAATTAATGTACAATTACTATGGATCCCATCATACATTTGATTACTTCTTCATGATAAAGTTGATATGTTAGCCAAGAAGAGTACGCAAAGAAGAATGTAGAATATAACTGGTATAACTGTCTAGCATTAGGAATAATATTAGGAGAGAAGTAAATAATGAGAATGATTGTTATAGGAATGTAATTAGAAACCTGAGTAGATCTATAATCCACTATGATAACATGAACGTAGACAAGTATGTTTGTGGAGCAACTTGCAATATGAACAGACTGACTGATGGTGTAGTGGCCAGACTTAGGCTTGGTTACAAATACTTCTGGCAGTTTGGGAGACACAGATGATGATCAAACCAAATGCAAATTATGTGGCCAGGCATATGGTCACTGTCTTGAACACTATGTGCTTAATTGTCCACTTATTGAGGAACATGGAGATAGACAGTATAATAACCTATGTAACATGTCAAGATATCTTATTAATGAAAATAATATACCAGATATACTAAGCAAATTTCCTAAATTTGCTTGTAGCAGATAAGTGAACTGTAGATATAAATCCAAATGTATACCTGTTAACCCTTTTGGGGCCTAGTTCCTAGGCCTTTTGTGTATTCATATGCTCTTGCTCTACCGTCCACAAGGGTGCACAATAAACTAGCCAAATCGGTGGCAAAATCTAAATCTTGGGAGTGTGTGCCACTCGTCTACAAGTCTACTGCCAAACTAGTGCTTCCTTATAACCTTTCTAAATATAAAAACTTCTAACTAGAACCACTGATGCGAGTCCTGTCTTGGTTAGATATTTTTTGAGCACGTTATATATATCATGTTTATTTATTCCGGTTTTCAGTTCATACACTTCACTCAAAAACCCTCTAACTCTACCCCTTCCCCAGAGTGCAAATTTAGTGGCTTCAACCCATCCTCATAGGAAAGATTTTGTTTCCTTTTCTGTATGTATTCCAGCACATTTACTGCATGTTCATTCTGTACTGGTAATATGGAGATAAGAATTGAGCACCACATCCTAAATGTAACCTTATCAGAGATCTATATAAAAAGAAGTATATAACATTTATATTTGTTAATATTAAGCCAAGAATTTAATTGGAGTTATAGTGAACACTTATGCATTGTTGTCTTGGTTTAATATTTCTAATGGTATAAACTTTGGTAATAAATACCGATAAGTTGAGTTAGAAAAACAAGATTTCTTATACTGTACATTTAGCTTATATGTGCCAGTGACGTAATCAAAATTTATTTGGCTGCTAGTAGGTCTGATGCCATACTCCTTCCTTAAGTGGATGTGGCCTGACCTGACTAGGTTGGGTCAGGGGCATAAGCCTATAGGTTACTTGGACCTGCCTCGCATGGGCCAGTAGGCCTGCTGCAGTGTTCCTTCTTGCTTATGTTCTTACATCTTGCTACTTCTACTTACACTTAGGTCACACTACACATGCATATACATGCATACATACATACATACATACATACATACATACATACATACATACATACATACATACATACATACTATATTATATATATATAAAAATATATTATATATATATATATATATATATATATATATATATTATATATATTATATATTATATATATATATATATATATATATATATACACATACCAATCTGGGTTTTCTATTTTTTAATAGTTCATGTTCTTTATTTCCTCTAATCTCCATGGGAAAGTGGGACAATTTTTCCATAAGCCATGTGTGTCGTGAGAGGCGACTAAAATGCTGGGAGCAAGGGGCTAGTAACCCCTTCTCCTGTATAAATTACTAAATTTAAATAGAAAATCTTTCGTTTTTCTTTTTAAGTCACCCTGCCTCAGTGTGATACGGCCGGTTTGTTGAAAAAAAAATGTAGGAAAGACACAAATGAGGAAATTACATTCATTTTGCCCTCCAGAGACTTGTGAAGCCAATATAGGGAACAGAAAACAGGATATATAGTGAACATCAAAATGGTATACAATACCGACAGGTTGTTAGGTAAGACACATATGCAACAGTTAGACAACTTTATTCCGAAACGTTTCGCCTACACAGTAGGCTTCTTCAGTCGAATACAGAAAGTAGGCAGGAACAGTAGAGATGTGAAGACGATGTAATCAGTCCATCACCCTTAAAGTCGTAGAATTTGAGGTTGTCAGTCCCTCGGCCTGGAGAAGTTCAGTTCCATAGTCAGGAACTATCTGAAGATCAAGCGACAGTGCGGAGACTTAAATACTGTCGGAAGGAGAGGTGCAGGGTAGTGGTAGTAGTAGTAGTAGTAGTAGTAGTAGTAGTGAGAGGCAACTGAGAGGTCATGTCCCTCTCAGATCCAACCCTTCTCACTTGAAAAGCTTGTCCAAGGTGTTTTCTGTACCAAGATGCCACGTGTTGCAGTGTTCCTGCCTACTTTCTGTATTCGACTGAAGAAGCCTACTGTGTAGGCGAAACGTTTCGGAATAAAGTTGTCTAACTGTTGCATATGTGTCTTACCTAACAACCTGTCGGTATTGTATACCATTTTGATGTTCATCTTGTCAGACACTGCAACACGTGGCATCTTGGTACAGAAAACACCTTGGACAAGCTTTTCAAGTGAGAAGGGTTGGATCTGAGAGGGACATGACCTCTCAGTTGCCTCTCACTACTACTACTACTACTACTACTACTACTACCACTACCCTGCACCTCTCCTTCCGACAGTATTTAAGTCTCCGCACTGTCGCTTGATCTTCAGATAGTTCCTGACTATGGAACTGAACTTCTCCAGGCCGAGGACTGACAACCTCAAATTCTACGACTTTAAGGGTGATGGACTGATTACATCGTCTTCACATCTCTACTGTTCCTGCCTACTTTCTGTATTCGACTGAAGAAGCCTACTGTGTAGGCGAAACGTTTCGGAATAAAGTTGTCTAACTGTTGCATATGTGTCTTACCTAACAACCTGTCGGTATTGTATACCATTTTGATGTTCATCTTGTCAGACACTGCAACACGTGGCATCTTGGTACAGAAAACACCTTGGACAAGCTTTTCAAGTGAGAAGGGTTGGATCTGAGAGGGACATGACCTCTCAGTTGCCTCTCACTACTACTACTACTACTACTACTACTACTACCACTACCCTGCACCTCTCCTTCCGACAGTATTTAAGTCTCCGCACTGTCGCTTGATCTTCAGATAGTTCCTGACTATGGAACTGAACTTCTCCAGGCCGAGGGACTGACAACCTCAAATTCTACGACTTTAAGGGTGATGGACTGATTACATCGTCTTCACATCTCTACTGTTCCTGCCTACTTTCTGTATTCGACTGAAGAAGCCTACTGTGTAGGCGAAACGTTTCGGAATAAAGTTGTCTAACTGTTGCATATGTGTCTTACCTAACAACAGGATATATAGTGGATGAGGTCGGGTGTTATTCAAGGTGGGAGTTGGAGCCGATGGATGTGATCTGCTGAGGCAGGATGTGTTTGTCAAGTATTTCCCAGGTCATAAAACTACTTGTGTTTTGAGCGATGGTGTTGTAGTGGTGATGAGAGCAGTCTAATAGATTCTAAACCTACATGGCAGACGCTGTTAAGAGTCTACTCTCATCGCTACTACCAACACTCGCTCAAAACATCTTAATAAATGATCCATCGTCTGTGCCCTTACAGACCAGTACAAGTGTTCTTTATTGTTTTGTTTAACACTTCTAAAATGGAGGCTGGCAGGTTGATCAGGCCCTGATCCACCGCGAGACCTGGTCATGGACCGGGCCGCGGGGGCGTTGACCCAGGAAACATCCCCCAGATATAACACATATTTTGTATTAAGCCTAATAGAGATATAGTGCATACTTTTCTCTGTATTCTCTTGCATTATATGTAACGTAACATTTTAACTTACAGGCCATGGAATTTATAGCAGTGTATTTCAAAAGTTATTTTGTCTGGCTTTCATGTTCTTGGACCCCCTTATAGGTCAGTGCCCCTGGGCAGCTGGCCCTCCCCTTAATTGGGTTATGCTAAAGCTGCTATATTGCTGATATATAACAGATTTGTCATCAAGGCCAGATGGGAAGGCCAGCTGTAGTCTTAACACTCCGCACTCTTACACCAGAAGGGAAGAAAGATAATCAATCATCTGGCCTTGAAGTTAAGACCAGACGGCAGAGCCATCTGGCCGGATAACCTGCATACAAACAAAAAGCCCTTACTCGAGTAATAATAATAATATGTTAATGCAGGAAAGTGTGTATGTGTATGACGAAGTGACAGCAACAGCTGCTGTCTGCCTGATGCCAAACATCAGTCATTCTACACTCTCCAACCCAAACACAATAATTTTTAACTTTTACCGAGTAACTGGCTCTATTTATAAGACGTTATTGGGTTTGTGGCCAGACTAGTGTGTTCAGTTCCTACACAGTATTTTTAGCCTAATTTGACATTTTAATAAGGTGCTAAAGAATGCTGTCCTTGTAGTGAATTAATTTCCAAGTTCGTGTCTGTCACCTCCAAAAAGATTATATAATAATGACGCCAACTTTTCGTACT